GGGGGGGGGAGGAAGCGCATGCAGGTGTGCAGTGTTAACGCCGACCCTTCAAGGCAGACCCGACTGGAAACCAAAGCCAATCCTAGCTTGACTTGCAAAATCAACACAGGGGGTCCTTGATATACAACCGCTCATTTAACAACAGTTCACATTTACGACAGTCTCAGAAAAATGAAGTTACAGTTACAGCTGTTGCACCCACCAGATTCACTCAGTGACCACGTCCACTTGACAACGGTGGTGATTTGCTCCATGACCTCAGTAAAAAGGGTCCTAAAATTGGGTCCATTCGCATTGCTAGGTGACCAAAACCCCACATCCGATTGTGGTCGTAAGATGAGGACCACCCGTACCAGCATCTTCTAGTTCTGAATGTGCTCCCCCGTCCCTTTGCAAGAACTATTGGGGGGGGGAGCGGGGGTCTTGCCTGAGGTGCTTTCTCAGGTTGCAGTTCTAAGCTGGACTCGGTTTCCTCTTATCTGACCGTCTCTGGGCTGCAGCTGTTCCTGAGTGTTACTCCTCATGCTAGCTGTCACTATTTTCAAATTAGCAAATGTCTCTCACCCAGACACACACACACACACACCTGGTTTAGCCGCCTCTTGCCTTGTGCTTCAAGGCAGGCCTGGCGCAAGAGCCCTCCGATGGAGGCAGGGAGGGAGGCTGCTGGGAGAGAAGCAGCCCTGGCCCAGCCACAAAGGGCCCCCCCAGGTGACAGGAGCGTGGCCAGCCAGGCGGGGGGGGGGCAGGCGGGGGCCCCAGGGGCTGCTGACCTTCTGTTCCTTCCAATAGCTGCTCTCAGGCAAATAAACTCAGCAGAGCTTTGCAGATCACAAACAGGTAGGGCTGCATTACCCAGCCCAGCGGCTATGATGGTTTTTTTCCTTGGTGGTAACTTAGGAGGAGGTGCACCTTAACCAAGGGGGAAAGTAAAGCCGTGACCTAAAGCCTTAATGTTGTGTGAACCCGGCTGACGTGGTGGTTAAGCGAGACCACATGTTGCTAGGAAAGAGCCAGTGTGTTGCCTATAAGGCCCCAGGATCCGATGACCAGCGGCTGAACAGAATCTTCAACCTGACAAGTTTCTGGCTTTTGAGGAACAAGCTCTTCAGACACGAAGCCTAGAAGCCCCCAGAGACGGGTCTCTGGGCAAAGAAGGTCGTGTTTTTCCTACAGAGCACCTAATTTGAGGGCCTCGCACATTAAGAACATGAAAATTTAGGCTACAAACACCAATTCACACAACATGCTTAATACAGCTTGCCACTTAGGCCAGGATGTTATATATAGGATCCAGCAAATGGGGGGATTATTCACTAAATCATGGTTTGATATGTGACACTAGCTCATACACCGATATCTGCGCTTAAGAGCCTGAGCTAAATAGGAAATGCTCTTTGGATAGCAAGATTTCCGAGAATAACCCATGGCAGGCGCAACAAAATCTGCTGGAAGGAAAAGAACCGACAGGATGACA